TGCGCGCTCGTGTGTGTGTATGTATGTATGTATGTGTGTGTGTGTGTGTGTGTGTGTGTGTGTGTGTGTGTGTGTGTGTGTGCGTGCGTGCGTGTGTGTGTGTGTGCGCGTGTGTGTGTGTGTGTGTGCGCGCGCGCGTGCGTGCGTGCGCGTGTGTGTGTACGTGTGTGCGTGTGTGATTGCGTCCGTCCAGCCGTTTGCGCGCGATTGTGTGCATGCATGCGTGCATGCGTGTGTACGTGCGTGGACGCGTGCATGCCACCTAACACCTCGCCTGCGTTTTCTAACCTCAGCATCTTGCGGTCCTCCGCGACAACTTCTCAACGGCCAGCGCGTAGGCATGGACTTCTCTCCGGGCGCCGTGGTCGAATATCGGTGCGACCCCGGTTACGTGATCGAGGAGAATCAGCCCGAGCGCATCACGTGTCTTGACAATGGCCGCTGGTCGCACGACGGGCCGGGAGAGTGTACGTACTGTGCATGCGTGTCAGCGTGGGTCGAGAGAGGAACGAATTTACGATCAAACCTGTTGTATATGAGCTATAGGGTGATGCTAGTGAAACGCCAAACAGTTTCTTTATAGAGGAAATGAACGGTTTTCTTCTTGGAAGAAGGATTTATAACCATTTAATTATCCATTAACTTATTTATTTAATTTATTAACCATTTTAATTATCTGTGAACCAGAAACATAGCCTACCAGGTAATTAATTGTTTCATTATTTGGGATTAGAATTCAACGGGGACGCGGGCAAGTCGAAATTGTGATTTTAATTAACCGACGACTCAGGAATGGCATATATTTTTTACCATATAACTGCTGCTTAGGGGAAACGCCAAAAACGTCCGTCATAATAAAAAAGGTGTCCGCCTGCACGGATTTGAATGTTATTGTAGGCGCAAGGTTTCGCCACAGTTTGCATAGAGCATTGGTGGCGTTTTCGCGAGTCTAGTAACCTGCTTGTGTCCATCTATACAGGCCTGAGAAAGTGTGATCACCCGGGAAACCCCGTCCATGGAGAACTAGTGCAAAAACCGGGCGTTGACAAGTACCACTACCTGGTAGGAGACATACTGGAATTCCGTTGCAACGAGGGGTATCGCCTTATTGGTAAATCTCACATCAAGTGCAAGAATAATGGACAGTGGTCACGGGAAGTGCCGAGATGCGAGGGGATGGGCCGCTATCGAACGTAATCTATATTGTAACCCGGCAAATGGGCCGTTAATGAGTATAATCTATATTATTATTATTATTATTATTATTATTGGCAGGCGGATACAGAGCGTCGAGTCTTAATTGGTTTGACTTTGTTTGTCTCAAAACACGTTATACGCAATTTCCTTTTTAATTTATATTTCTCTCTCTCTTAATCTTTTACTGCATGTCTGTCGTCTGTCACGTTTAGCGCTACAAACATTGAGTTTATATTCATATTATAATAATTATATATATATGAATATAACGTGTATATATATATATATATATATATATATATATATATATATATATATATATATATACTAATATATATATATATAAATGCTACTATTGCCAATAAACGTCATTTGCATGAGATTATGAAATCGATGACTTCAATATTCAATAATGATCTGCATACATTACTGTTTCGTTCGACTTGCATGTTGTTGATGTCCTGGTTAACAATACTGATAATTAAACATTAGGAGCGTAAACTTAGGAGTTTACTTACCTAATGCAACACGGATTAGGAGAAACACGCTTTGGTGAGTGAGAAGAGTCTCTGAAACGGTTTTTTCTGTACATAATGCAGAACTAGTACACTTGCGACATGACATGTACACGTAATTTTGCAGTTGAATGTATATGACTTTTTGAGGTACACGTGTATATGCTATTGCTATGTGTATGGTTTCTGTACATTTTATTCAATACAATTTTCGAACAGTATTAATATACCCATGTGCCCTAATATTACATTTGTAATTAAATAGTGTTCCGTCGTGTTGTATATCATTTATGAATTATGTCATTTTCATTGATTTCTCAACCCTTTTGTTTAAGGAGCCTATTTGTAAATTAGCTTGTGTTGGTGTCTCTGATTTTGCATGAGATAAGATCACGGTTCCTTATAAAAGTTCTTAATTTATCGCAAGTGCATTTTCAATCGATGCGTGAGCGAATGCGTGTGCACATGCGCAAGAGCAAATGACGTCTTTAAACGATTTCAAATCATATACTGCAATAATAGGGGCAATGAATTTTATTACGACTTATTTCATAATTCATACGCATATCTGCTGTATGTGATTTACCGTGAAATAACCGTAGTTACGTTGTAACTGAGTAGACGTTTGCAACAGACCCGATGTGCGTTAATATTACATGCTAGTCAAATGTACGCTCTAAGGCGACTTTATTGTTGTGACTACTTATTATACGTGACACTCTTTTTTCTTGTTTTTTCTGTTACACTGTCATTTTAATGATGATATTAGAAGAAAACGTATTGTAGTCGAATGTATAAAATAAACGTAAATGTATAAAATTAAATGGCGTATTTGCAAGATATAGTGGACTTGTTTCTTCTTGCACCACCCCTGTAACAAATATCAAGGAACATTCTGACAATTAAAACGCCAATATACATTTGTTATATATACGGCAATAAACGCCGTTTTTTGCTCACCACCACACAGAATATTCGTTTCCCTAGAATTTTATAGCATAGGCCTACTTTATATCACCTAAAATATAAATTGAAGAGATTAATTTTACAGAGTGGCCCTATTATGCCGGCAGAACCGCAATTATCGCTGACGGCTGCCGGGCAACGCGTCTTTCGATTTCTAAATGCCGCAGCTTTTTAATTTTCAGCTTTATGCTCAAGTAAACAAAGGGTTAGGGTTAGGGGTTAGGAACTGCGGGCATTTAGGAAATCGAAGACCGTGCCCGGCTGCCGGGCATATAGCCACAGCGTTAATTTTAATACCGGTCAACATAACTATATGATAGTGTGATTGGCGAATCAAGAAACGGTGCAAAGGGTGGGGGTGCAAAACCACTCGCGAGTGGGGTAATCAGAGTGTTCTATCAGCTCTCTCCTCCAGCGGTCCCCGGCCGCGCGTTTTAGTGCTTGTTAGATAGAAATTTCTGGCCCCAGGAAATTAAAACACTAAATTTGGAATCAATAAGTAAAATGAACGGTTGAAATGCCCAAGATGACTGCTTTGCGTTTTTCATTCGTTTTCTGGGTATTGATGTATTGATTTTCAAGGGTGGGAGTCATGGCCCTAATGCCCCAATTGGATCCGCCAGTGGACCGGGAGACAAAACATAGATGAATAAATTTAGCGTGTATGTGCGTGTACGTCGATTAAAAAGTTGTAAGTGGCAATGTACAACAAAAAATTTAGAGAGTGTACAATACAGTTAGCATCCATATAGCCTTTCATTATATCAGGAGTAAATAATAGAGTAAATATTATTCACTCCTGATTATATATACCA